TGTGTGTCTGTATGTGTGTCTGTTTGTGTCTGTCTGTGCGTTTGTACGTGGTTGTGTGTATCGTGTGCGTGTCAGTGTGTGTGTGGTGTGTGGTGCGTGGTGTGTGGTGTGTGGTGTGTGTGTCTGCGTGTGTGTGTTTGTGTGATTGTGGTTGTGTCTGTGTGTGTCTGTGTGTGTCTGTGTGTGTCTGTGTGTGTGTGTCTGTGCGTGTGTGTCTGTGCGTGTGTCTGTGTCTGTGTGTGTCCGTGTGTGTGTGTGTGTGGTTGCGTGTGTGGTTGTGCCTGTGGTTGTGTGTGCGGTTGTGTGTGTGGTGTCAGGTGTGTGTGGGTGTGTGCGTGTGTGCATGTGTGTGTGGTTGTGTCTGTATGTGTGCGTGTTTCTCCGCTGCCTCATTCTCCCCGTCCTCCCTGTCCTCCTCCTCCTCCTCCTCCTCCTCATCCTCCAACTCCTCCTCCAACTCCTCCTCCTTCTACTCCCACCCGCCGGCTACGACCCCATACGGGCAGGGTCCAGAGGCCTGGGGCCCGTCCAGGGCATCCTCCGTCGAGAGTCAGGGCCCGAGCTCCAGACCCTGAATGTTTAAACAATGTCCACAGGTGCTTCGGCCTCAAGACAATGAGGAGGAGGAGGAGGAGGAGGAGGAGGAGAGGGACGAGGAGAGGGACGAGGACGATGAGGAACAAGTGTATCCTGAAGTGTGTTCCCGCGTTTAGCCTCTAGGGGCCCCTCGCCAGCCCCAGGGCCGTCAAAAAGGCGTGGCATGAAATCAGCTACGCGCAAGAGTGACCTTTCGCCAGAGTGACCTTGGGTTCGGGTTCGCAGGGGTCCCCCCAGCACTGGCGTGCGCGCCTGGATCTGGCCCTCTGAGGCCGTGCACCAGATGCCACTCTTGCACAGGGTCACTCTTGCGCGCAGCCGATGGAAAATGGGGAGAGGGTCGGGACTTCCACGGGGCCCGAATTGAAGCAGACAGTACGTTGGATCTCTGGAGCCAGAGCCGAAGGCGGCGGTGTCGTCGGCAGTTGCATCGGCAGCGCCAGCGTCGGCGGCGTCGGCGTCGGCGGCGCCGATTGTCGGCAACAGAGGAAGGCGGGAGACGAGCATGAGGAGGAGGAGGAAGGGAGGAGGGACGAGGAGGAGGGGAGGAGAGGGAGGGAGGGCGGGGGGGAGGGAGATGGGGGAGGAGGAGGAGGAAGGAGGAGGAGGAGGAGCAGGACGAGAAGGGGGAGGACGGACGAAGAGGGACGAGGATGGATGAAGGGGGGAGGGGGAGGGTTAGGCTGCTGTCCTGCAGGTGTCTGGGGGTGGGGCCAGGGAGGCCCAGGAAGAGGATGGAGAAAGGGATGATGATGGTGATGATGATGACGATGATGATGGTGGTGGTGATGATGGTGATGGTGATGGTGATGGTGATGGTGATGGTGATGATGATGATGATGATGATGATGATGATGATGATGATGATGAGGATGAGGTTGATGGTGATGCTGGTGATGCGGGTGGTGGTGATGGTTCTGGTGGTGATGATGATAAGGTCGATGCTGATGATGATGCTGATGCTGGTGATGATGATGGTGATGGTGGGGGTGATGATGATAAGGATGAGGTGATGATGATGATTGTGGTGGTGGAGGTCGTGGGGATAATGATGATGGTGGTGATGATGGTGGCGATGACGATGGTGGTGGTGATGATAGTAAGCATGCTGATGGTGATGATGAATAGGATGACCATATGGATGGTGATGATGTGGGGGAGGATAATGATGATGCTGATGCTGATGCTGCTGATGCTGATGATGACGATGGTGATGATGATGATGGTGATGACGATAGTTGCGGTAGTGGTGGTGATACCGATGATGATGATGATGATGGTGATGGTGATGGTGGTGATGGTGATGGTGATGCTGGTGCTGTTGATGATGATGATGTCGATGATGATGATGATGATGATGATGATGATGATGATGATGATGATGATGTCGATGATGATGATGATGATGATGATGGTGGTGATGGTAATAAGGATGGTGTTGATGATGATGCTGATGTTGATGAAGATGATGATGACGATGATGATGATGATGATGATGATGATGACGATGATGATTATGATGATGATGATGATGATGTGGATGATGATGACCATAGTGATGATATTGATGATGATGCTGGTGATGATGATGATGATGATGATGATGCTGATGATGATTATGATGATGGTGATGATGGTGATGGTGATGGTGATGGTGGTGGTGGTGGTGATGAAGAGGAAGAGAAGGATGAGAAGGAGGAGGACAAGGAAGAGGAGGACGACGACAAGGAGGAGCAGCGAGGATCAGCGAGGGGCAAAGGGCGAAGAGGGAGGAGGAGCAGGAGAAGGACGAGATCCAGAAAAGGGGTGCGCCACATCCGTTGACATTTTGGCTTGGGCTATTTGGGCTCAACGATTTATCGTCTGAGATAAACTGTCGCAGCCCCGGGAAGGCCAGACAGCCATGCCGTCGGCTCCGCGCGGATCCCTGGCGCTGCTTGCGGCCTCCAGCGTCTCCTTTGCGAGCGCTGCCGATGCCAGCGTCATCCACCTGCCGTTGCAGCACCGCCCGAAGAGCCTGGCGCACGCGCTCGCTGCACAGGCCCGCCGTGCCAATTTCAAAGGCGTCGAGGCCCACCAGGTGCTCGATGGGCTGCCCTCCGTGTCCCTGACGGACGTCCAGGACTCCGAGTACTTCGGCGAGGTGGAGATCGGAACGCCGGCGCAGAAGTTCACGGTCATCTACGATACGGGCTCCTCGAACTTGTGGGTGCCCAGCAAGGGCTGCACCAATTGCAAGCCCAAATCCCCCAGCTACGACTCGACTGCGTCCAGCAGCTTCAAGAAGGACGGTCAGCCGTTCGCCCTCCAGTACGGCACAGGCAGCTGCAACGGCTTCATCAGCCAGGACAGCGTCAGCGTGGGGGGGCTCACGATCTCGGATTTCAAGTTCGGCGAGGTCACCACTGAAGCGAAGGACGTGTTCGGAGAGGCGCCTTTTGACGGCATCCTCGGCATGGGCGTCCCCAAGGCGGCAGTCGATAAGGTGCCTATGCCTATGGACCAGCTCGTGGCTCAGGGCAAGGTGCAGCACAACATCTTTGCCTTCTACCTGTCGTCTGGCGGCAAGTCCGGCTCCACCCTCAGCCTGGGCGGCACGGACCCCGCATTCTACACCGGTGACTTCACCTACGTGCCGACTGCCCTGGCCGCAAAGTTGCTGCCCTACTGGCTGGTTTCCGCCTCCGACCTCAAGGTGGCTGGCCAGAGCACGGGCTCCTGCAACCATTGGACCGGCTGCTACATGGTGGTCGACACCGGCACCAGCGTGATCGCCGGGCCGCCGGGTGCTGTCGACGCGCTGACGTCAAAGATCGGCAACGTTTCCCAGGACTGCTCCAACGCGGGCACGCTCCCGACGGTCGCCATCACCATGGCCGGGAAGGACTTCGAGATCGGCCCAGACTTCTACGTCATCCGAGCTGCGGGCGAGAACGGCGAGCAGCAGTGCATGCTGGGCATCCAAGGTCAGGGGTCAAAGTTAGGGTTATGAGATTCCTAAGTATTTTAGCCTGACTCACCAGCAAGAATTTCGAGCACCAGGAAAGTACCGAAACTGGAGGCTTTCCACATGTCGGGCCCTGGGAGGCGATACTCTTTCGACACTGTTTCGATACTTCTCGGGGTGCTCGGAATTAAGTTGGGGATGTGGTCCTTAAGCACGATGGGAGCAACCTAATGTTAGGGGGGGATGGGCTCGGGCGTGGCGCATCGACCCCCAGGCACCCACGCATCGCCGAGAATTGGGGGGGCCCGAGCGAGCCCACGCCGCCCGGAAGCGGGCGAATGCGTGTGCCACCGGGGGCCTCCATCGCCAGCCTATCGTCGAGGTATATCTCCGATTCCTGCTGGGTGTTTCCCCTTGTCGTTCCCCCTCACAGGTAGGGGAGCGAACAGTGACATAAACATAAAAACTCAAAGGTCCGCGCGGATTTCTCGGATCGGCGCTGGACACCCCTGGCGGCGCCTCCGGCGCCGCCCTTGGCGCGCTCCGCGCGCCAGGGGGGGGGGGGGAAGGAGGGTTCCCAGCGCCGATCCGAGAAAACCGCGCGGACCTCCGTGTTTCTATGTTTATGTCATTGTTCGTTCCCCTTACAAGGGGTCAACGCCGGCGTCCCCATCTGGATCCTGGGGGACCCCTTCCTGCGCAAGTACTACACCGTCTGGGACGCCGAGCAGCAGCGCGTCGGGTTCGCGCTCGCCAAACAGCCGTCCGAGTCCACGCTGGTGGTGTGAGGAGCTGGCCAGGGCCGCGCGGCTTGCGACGAGGGGGCGCGCTGAGGTCCAGAGGAGGCAGAAGTGCCGATACCGCTGCTCGTCCTGGAGAACCCTCGTCGCCGCGGCTAGATTCTCCTCGAAATCCTGGTCAGAATGCACCCCGGGAGAGGTCCGGGGAGAGGCGGTATCGGTATCTCTGGTTCCCCAAGAGGTGGATTGGGCAGGGAGAGGCATTGGGGAGGCAGAAGGAGAGGAAGGCCTTTGAGGAGACTGGCGGGGGGGGCGGCTCGATTTTTGCCTGCAGCCCACAGTTGTTAGCCTGCTGCCGTGGCCCTCACGGAGCACGACCGTCTGGCATGGGCCGGCGGCGCACGCGGCGGGGCGTAGAGGCGAGGGAGGAAAACGGGCTGCCCCGCAGGGCCTGTTGTGGCCGTCTCGGCGGGTCGCTCTCGCTGCCTGGAGGGGGCAAGGCTCAACGTAGCCCCCTGCAGCTGGCACGGAGGAGGAGGAGGGCTGTCAAAGTTTGCGGTTTCGTACAGACGGCCTTTGCCAGCGCGGGAGAAGCACAGGCTGCCCCGCAGGGCCTGATGTGGCCGTCTCGGCGGGTCGCTCTCGCTGCCTGGAGGGGGCAAGGCTCAACGTAGCCCCCTGCAGCGGGCTCAGAGGAGGAATGGAGGAGGAGGAGGAGGAGGAGGAGGGCTGGCAAAGTTTGCGGTTTCGTACAGACGGAACTTGCCAGCGAGGGGTGAAAACGGGTTGCCCCGCAGGGCCTGATGTGGCCGTCTCGGCGGGTCGCTCTCGCTGCCAATAGCCCCCTGCAGCTGACACGGAGGAGGAGGAGGAGGAGGAGGAGGTGGAGGTAGGAGCGAGGAGGAGGAGGAGGAGGCTGGCAAAGTTTGCGGTTTCGTACAGACGGAACTTGCCAGCGAGGGAGAAACACAGGCTGCCCCGCAGGGCCTGATGTGGCCGTCTCGGCGGGTGGCTCTCGCTGCCTGGAGGGGGCAAGGCTCAACGTAGCCCCCTGCAGCCGGCACAGAGGAGGAGGAGGAGGAGGAGGAGGAGGAGGAGGAGGAGGAGGAGGAGGAGGGGGGGAGGAGGAGGAGGAGGGCTGGCAAACGTTTTGCGGTATGTACAGACGGAACTTCCAGGAGGGGTGAAAACGGGTACGGGTTGCCCCGCAGGGCCTGTTGGAGCCGTCTCGGCGGGTCGCTATCGCTGCTGCTGGAGGGGGCAAGGCTCAACGTAGCCCCCTGCAGCTGGCACGGAGGAGGAGGAGGAGGAGGAGGAGGAGGAGGAGGAGGAGGAGGAGGAGGAGGAGGGGCCTGGCAAAGTTTGCATTTTGTTACAGACGAATTTGCGTGAGGGTGAAAAATACGGGTTGCCCCGCAGGCCTGTTGGAGCCGCTCGGGGGTCGCTCTCGCTGCCCCTGGAGGGGGCAAGGCTCAACGTAGCCCCCTGCAGCCGGCACGGAGGAGGAGGAGGAGGAGGAGGAGGAGGAGGAGGAGGAGGAGGACTGGCAAAGTTTGCGGTTTCGTACAGACGGAACTTGCCAGCGAGGGAGAAACACAGGCTGCCCCTCAGGGCCTGATGTGGCCGTCTCGGCGGGTCGCTCTCGCTGCCTGGAGGGGGCAAGGCTCAACGTAGCCCCCTGCAGCCTGCACGGAGGAGGAGGAGGAGAAGGAGGAGGAGGAGGAGGAGGAGGAGGAGGAGGAGGAGGGCTGGCAAAGTTTGCGGTTTCGTACAGACGGAATTTGCCAGCGAGGGAGAAACACAGGCTGCCCCGCAGGGCCTGATGTGGCCGTCTCGGCGGGTCGCTCTCGCTGCTTGGAGGGGGCAAGGCTCAACGTAGCCCCCTGCAGCCGGCACGGAGAAGGAGGGCTGGCAAAGTTTGCGGTTCCCAGATTCGGGTATAGCCAGGACCCCGGTTAAGGGGCGCCAGTCAGTGATTGGTCCCCGAAGCCCAAGATATGGATTGGAGTCCCTAAACCAGGTCTGCCGTAGCTGATGCTTTTCGGGTTACGGCAATTCCGCTTAGTGGAATGGGACGGGGGGGGGGGCGCCCCCCTGTACACATCATAGAACCAGGTCCCACCAAACCCAGTTCTGCCAACGCCCGACAGGTGTAGTCCTAGGCGGCCGCGGCAGGCCCAAGGGCAGCACAGAAGGATCTCAGGAGCTTCACCCCAGGGTCGGGGTGTTCAAACCGCCCCTGGCCGCCTGAGAGTTGCCCGCGTAAGGTTGCGCGTAAGCGCCCTCGTCTCCAATGTAGCGTACCGCGCTGGCGGCCCGCGTAAGACACCGCATAAGGCCGCTATGCAACCTTGCGTAAGACCAGTATCTTTCTGGCGATCACATTGTGGATTTGTTGAGGCCAGCCAGAGTTACTTCAGTGCGCATCTCCACGCCATGCCAATGAGAACACCGAGCGGGAGGAGGGAACAGGAAGAATAGTGTGCCATCAAGATCGACGAGACGTCAACGTACATGTATTCATCGGTTCATCGATCCGCCGTGGTATTTCTTGGTATGCTTCTTTTTCTCGATGCTGATCTCGATGATGACTTCCTCCATCCTTGGTGTTGCCAGCTTCTGCCTTGGTAGCTGTTGTTCTGTTCTGCCAGTTGCCGTTCTGCTGGTATTGTTGATCTTGATGGTGATGCCGATATCCAGCTGCACGTTCCTCTCTCCATGGGTATGGCCTTCCACCTACTGGGGGGCCTGCTGCAGGAGTCCTGGAAGCATGCCCCCCTCTATTCGAGCTGCCAGAAGCCATGGTACGGTTCTGGTACTGCAAGGAGGCCTGGTGCTGATGGTTGCTTTCGTGCTTCTGCGCGGAGTGGTGGCTGGTCAAGATGTTGGCCGCGTCGAGCACGCGGATGATGGTCCGCGCGCTGGCCCTCTTTTCCCGCCGGCGCCTGTGCCAGGCGGGCTCGCCCTCGCGGGGCGCGGCGGCACCTCGCCGCCGCGGCTGCGGCGCCAATGGCGCGTTGCGCGCGGCCACGAGCGGGGGGGGGGGGGGCGACCGACCGACGACGACGGCCCGCCCCTCCTCAGCCCGTGGTTCCTCCTCCTCCCCCTCCTCCTTCCTCCTCCCTCCTTCTCCTCCTCTCCTCCTCCTTCTCCTCCCCTTTCCCTCTTCCCTCCGCCTCCCCCCCCCCTCCTCCCTCCTCCTCCTCTCTCCTCCTC